TATGTCTTTTCTTGGCTCTTAAATGAGTGACTAAATGAATTATGTGGCTACTACTCCCCTTTTACAGTGGTGACTGCACTACCTGAAACTTTTCCATAACTCACAGATCAAATAACTTCAAGCCTTTTGCAGACTGTCTCTCTGCAGCCAGGGTGAGAGAGATGCAGTACTTACCCTAGAGAGGATCACAGTCTGCGGGCAGAAATGTTATAAAACTTGCTTTGATAAGTATTCTGTGCACCTGGATAGAGAGCAGGGTGTTTCCTAGGGGAGGCCACTCAGCTGCCATGGCAGCTTCCCTCCAGGTAGTTTAATTACCCTAAATACTCAGGAAGACTGACTCACTAATAAAGCTATATTGGTCTATCAAACCAGACTCCAGTGTGTTAATTTATGATGAGAAATACATCAGGTTCAGTAGACTGCCCCACTGGCCTTAGTGTGTGTTCTTTATGTAATCATACCACTTGGGAAGCCTAATTAAAATCAAGAAACAGCTCCACATATCAGAATGAGGGGGATTTAATTCTAGGGATGGAATGTTTACCAACATCAAGTCACCCCTACCACCATGAGCCTGGCACAGCCTTCCTCCCCAGTTTGTTTCCGTGGTTCCTGGTTCTGTTGCACTTGATATTTTATCTACCCCTCCCTAAATGGCACGTTCTTTTTTAAATAGTCACTCTGATTTACATTGTATTCCAGGCTTTGGAACCCATCACCTCTTTCAAATTGCTTATTGCCTTTGTCGTGTCATCCTATAGCTCCAGGCTTGGCGGTGGGGGTGTAAATTTCCAAACTCACTGTCTTCCCCAAACATGGTAGGATTCCCAGGCTACCCAGCTTATTACAAGAACAGTGGTATCAGATAGATACAGGCATAAAATTTCCAATATGCTAAATTATAGATGGTCTATCTGTAGATGAGTAGCTTTAAAGCTTTTCTTAGGTTACAACTGAGGTGTGTAAACATGAGGAAATCCTATAGGTCAAGAGCCTAAGTCCATGGAGACCCAGGAGGATGCTGACTGGCCAGTGACCGTCCCCAGTCCGTGCTTACGCAGCAACTGAGGCTAGTTTTCAGAGGAGTGGGAACGGGAGCCTTCGATTAACATCGAGCTATCCTCTTCTTATCCGTTGAAGATGGGATTAAGGCTATGAGGGGGAGGAAAAGATCGCTGCGACCCCGCGGTAAACGCCTAGTCGTGCTCCACCCGGTCTGCGGGCCTCGGTTTCCAGGATACAGAATGGAAGAAGCCGACCTCTCAGGCTTGCCTCTCTGCGCATAAAATCCTTGGATTTCGTTGTAAAACCACATTTCCACGAAGTAAAGGACAACAGAGAAAGGAGAGGAAGAGGTAAATGAGGGGCGTAGGAGAAAGGATGGCAAGAAACCCCTAACCTCGAGTTACATCAAGTGACGTAAAGCGCCAGAATCCATGCGGGAGCCCCTTAGCAACGGCGCAGGCTCAGTTCTGGTGCGGGGGTTTCTGGGGATTGTAGTTTTCCCATCTTTGCGGGAGAGGAAGACCTGTCACCGACTTCCTTGCACACCCACGCCGACCCGGGGCTGTGTGCACGGTCCAATGGAGGGGGTCAGTATTATCAACAGTTAACAATATCTACAATAGGAAACATATCTATAACAAGGCTGGTGGGACTTCAACAAAGGCCTAGTAAATGCTGAGGAATTCGGGATGCTTTCACAGAAAACCGTGTGATAAACGATTCGGACGGATTAAGCATTCGCCTGGGACACAGTGGGAAGGTAGTAAACGAGTGGGATCATTACAGGCAGAAGAAACTGCTCCTACAAATTCGGAAGCATGAGAGCAGTTACGACTGGCTGAGAACACAAAGGGGTAGGTAGGGGGTTGGTAAACCATGGGATCTGAGGATTTAGAAATGGGAAGAAATCAGCTCATGAAGGGTCTTGAATGCTAAACTCAAGAATTTGGACCTTTTGTTGAATACCTCACACACAGCCCAAGTAATATGAATGACGCACTCCTTTGCATTTTCCATATTTTGCTCATCTTTATCACTTGCCACAGCATTTCTGACTGTGTCTTCATCCCAAGGATCATGGCCTTGTGATGAGAGCTCAGGAAGTGTTTTTTGAATGATCAGATTTGAGTTTTTAGAAAAGCAAGCTGCAACAAGGTGAGAGGGTAAGAAAAGAGCAAGGCTAGATGTAAAAAACCATCAGAGTTCAAAGTAAATCGTTTTCCCCACCTCCAATTTTCCCTCCATCCACGGGTTGAAATCTAGTAGCTCAAAGGCCATTTCCAACATGGGTTTTGTTTGGCCAGCACTTTTTTAAAAATTAGTTGCCCCGTATTTTTAAAGTGGAATGTTTCACATTTAAGCAATAACAAGAGATTTCTGGATTCTCTTGAAAAATCTGAAGAGTTGACAATTTGGGGCCCTGATTCTTCACAGCAGTGGAAGGAGCTGAGTAGCTACTGCCCCCTTTAACAGGACATAAACTCTCCCGTTTCTCACGTTCCGTACCACTTCTTCCATCCCCTAAAACTGAGGCCAAATACCTTTTATCCCAAATACCTTTTATATAAATATGCTTTTATTTTCATTTCCTTACAGTGAACTCGTGCTGTTCGACCTTGGAGGCATTTGAGTTGCCCATCTTTGTACTAATCTATCCTGCCCGGTATCTGAGGAGTGATTCAATTAAACTAATATTTTAGGAAGATTAGTCAGTACAAAACAGATTGAAGTGATGGGCTGTGAGGCAGAAAAGAATAAATAAATTGGAAACCTATTGAAGGAATGTTTGAGAGAACTTGGCCAGCAATTAAATATTGGATGAAAGATGAGGAAAGGGCAAAATATAACTGCAGAGTTTCCTGCCAGAATGGCTGAGAAGATGGTATCACCAACATAAGAAAGTGGGAGAAGTGGAAAGGGTGGTGGTGATCACTACCTTGCTACCTGTAGTATTTTGTGGGCAAGGGTCAAGATTTACCAGTTCCATAATCTTCCAGTATTGTGCTGGACATGCATTAGGTGCCCAGGAAATTCTAGTTGAATTGAAACTGACCTCAGGTGGGGTATATATCTGATGAGGGGGGAGAGCTGGAATGCTTGAAAGAAACCAGTAAGTTGTCGGACCTTAGGAATTCTCTCTAGAGTGGATGATCCTGGGGCTTGGGGATACTTAATCCGTTTTGGAGAAAAATCTACGCGAAAGTCCTGAAGCAGAGCAAGAATTTAGCACGGAAAAATGGAGATGGGGGTGCGGGAGATGGTGTCATTCCAGGGGAAAGGAGAAAAAAAAAAAGAGAGACTGGATGGTAGGACTTTTCCTGCAATACACTGGTACAGCAAGCTCTTGACTGGGGCACTAGGCAGGGGATTTTGGACAATGAGACTGGGAAGGTTGGAACACTGGACCTTTCTAAACAGTTTTGAGAGCACATCACTTAAAAGGAAAAGAAATTTTCAGCCCCCAACCCCCCAAAATTATTTATTTACAAGTTATATGTACAACTAATGTAGTATTATGCCCTTATATTTACACATAGAAGAAATTTTAGGATTATAAAAATTAGAAATATTCTAGTATTTTCGTCTCACTCCCCTAATGTATCCTATCACACACACCCTATGGTACGCCCCTCCCAACTCCCCGCCTTAACATACATCACTTTGGAGCCACTGCTGTAATCAAAGGGAGCCTTTGAAGTTTCTGAAACAGGAGGGGCATGGTCTCTGTCGATTTTCCCGAATCCGCAAACTTTAAAGGCTTGAGACGTCAAAGAACTGCAATTGCCTTGGACTGCCTTCCATGTGCCAGGAAACGCCTCAGTGCTTTAACATAACTCATTTAATCCCCATAGCAAACCTACGCTGTACGCACTACTATTATCTTTTAAGCTATTTTTATCTTAAGATGAAATCGAGGCATAGTGAGGTTAAGAAACTTTCCCAGGGTGACACAGAAGTGGCGGAGTCAGAATTGGAACCCACGCTGGGTGGATCCACACTCCAAGAGTTTAACCACCACTGAGAGAGGGGTGAGAGGGAACTGTTTTTTTCTCTCTTGCGGCCTTCACTCTCTCATCAATCACAGCTGTCGTGAGAATCAGGCACTGTGCGAGGTGGCGGTGAAAAAGATGACTAATCCCCAGGATGCCTCTCAAGCGGTGGTCTAGGAAGGGTCTGCGTCTCCGCAGTCTCCC